GGAACCTGAGCTGGCCCTTTAAGGAGGAAAGAACATTAATACCACAAAACTGAGGGAACCTGAGCTGGCCCTTAAAGAGGAAAGAACATTAATACCACAAAACTGAGGGAACCTGAGCTGGCCCTTAAAGAGGAAGGAACATTAATACCACAAAACTGAGGGAACCTGAGCTGGCCCTTAAAGAGGAAGGAACATTAATACCACAAAACTGAATACCTGCAGAATTTTTTCCATCAAGTGTGACTTAAAACTATGACAATCTTCCTACCTGGCAACAACTACACGGTTTTCAATTTGGAATCCTGCAAAGTATTTTTGTAAATGAAAGCAAGGTGTGAGGAACCAAGCCTCATCTCCAGGCCTTCCAAGCCGACAGATATCGTACATTTAGTAGGAGAACGAGGGTGGGACTAATTGATCTTTTCAGTCAGATAATGAAAGAAGTTGTACTGTGGAAAATGTATTCACATATTTATTCAGAATTTGTAAGACAGCAACAAGATATTTGCAGACACGCAGATCGGAGGATAAAACCGATGAGAATGAGGCACTGAGTGTCAGATTGACACCGAAGCCGGAAAACCCTGCATGGCGGTGAGCATCCTGATGTGGTTCTGTTGCGGCTATTTTTTGACCGATTTAAAAGTGAACAAAGGTCACGGTGGTAGCATTTCACAGATCTTTTAGCGTCTGAGCATTTATTTTTAATTAAGTGCACTACTGATTGAGAAGTGAAATACTGTAACAATTTGATTATTTCCTATTTGATATGCGTAGGTAGGGTAAGAAATAAAGAACTTCAGATCCTTTAAGAGTTTATTTCTTTTTAGAAAAGGATACTACGAGTTGTGATTTATTATTACTATGTATGTTATTTTTATTTATTATAAAACATCTCATGTGATCTAAGAAATATTAAATTTAGCTTTCACAAATGGTCTTAATTTATCATAGGCTCTTAAATAAGTCACCCATTTTAATCTTTGAAAGAGCTAAATGTGACATTTGTACATTAATTTAGAACGTGTGCTACTTCGAAGGGTCTCTCCTAATAATTGCAACCAAACATTACTCAGACAACATACACAAACAGCCATATTGATACAGCAAAATGGAGAAATGTGTACATATTCAATAAATTAAAATATGCAAATATACCATTCTGTTCATTTTAACTGTCCCTTGTCAAAGCCAGCTTTAACACTCAGAAATGTGAACATTTCACACTCTTAAAAGTGTGCTTTAAATACAACAGAGGAGGGATGAGGAGGACTTATTTAAACACCCTGCAATGCAGTTTGGACAAAACACACATCTGGTTACAGTCAGTAAACATCAATGTCAAACATTCCTCACACACCTCAGATGTAAGGCAAACAAGCACAATCAATAATGTATTCTTTATTCGAAGCATATTCAATTGTGTTTTAAATTCACGGCTTTTAGGACTAGTTACACATACAAAAAACTTCAGAGCTCCTCACAGATCTAGTGACCACACTATTTCAAAGCTATCATCTTAAAATACATTTGTGTATATTTAGTAAAAACAGGCCCCTTCCCTTCCAAGCCGGCATACATAGCCTGAATTTAAGGTCTATGTGAAATGATACTTGAAGCTTATTTGTGGCCATAATTAGCCTTCTCTCCCTTTTTCCACCCTACTGTTGGTTGCTGATGTAACAGCAAATCCCCAAACCCAAGCAGGAAAGTTCTAATATTTGAATTCCAAGCACAAGGGGAAAAGCTTTAGTAGCTGTGACACTGAATAACACATTCACTGTGTCTGTATGTCCCCGCCATCACCAAACTCTGTAACTAATGTGCAAACAAGCCTGGCCAGCAGAATGTCCCCATAGTGCTGTTAGGCATGAATCTCCTGGTATTTCCATGCTGTGGGAGCACAGCAAGCGACCCATTGGTTTGACTTTGTGTGAACGATGAAGTGTCACATTGATCATTATTGCTTTGTAACAGCAGATCTATAGTAAAGAGAGAATCATCCACCCAGCCAGATTCATATAAACCATGGAAGTTTCTGGCATTAAAAAAAAGAAAAAAATAAATAAACTAGATTAAAAATAATAATATCTTTAAAATAATACAATGCATCTGGACTGACATCTCTAACACGCAGTGCAAATTGGCAAGATGTGCATCTCCTACAAAGAATACTAATTCAGACAATGGTGTGTACTAAGTGTCTTGGACCGTTTTGTTCAGTCATAGTACAGCACAATAAGAGCTACTGAATTCCCACAGATATCCTCAGGGAATTTAAACAATGGAAATGTTTTGAACCGTTTTTACAGCATGCTCTCAAACATTTGATATGTCCTAATCTCTTGTACAGGCTTCATTTTGACGTTGCAGTTTTCGCCTTCACAACAACTTCGTTAAAAGCTACTGTTGCCGCATGCCAAAAGCAAGAACACTCATTTGTAAATGTGAACGTTTATCAATGTTAAAATGGTTTCCAATCTGAATTTCATTTCAGTTTTCTCCACCCAACTATAATAGTTTTTTCCTAAAGATACGAATAAATTTGACTCTCACATACAACATCGTTTTGCAAATTGTCACTGTATGTTCGGCCACACACAACATGGCAAAATTTCCAAAGATTAAAAACAAAATAAAAACAAACAACCATTGGATATTTGCCTTTCTGTTCGATGGTTATTTGGCACGCATCGCAGGTGTGCCTTTTTAACGGGAGGAAGCAACATCGTGAGCAAAAAATTTGAATGTGCTTAACATCGATTTAAGTCAGAAGCTTCTGCCTACTGCACACAGCTGCAAACAAAAATTAAAACAATTAACTATCTGTGGGCGCCACTGGCTGCTTTTGCCCACCTCTGACTTCACACTCACTCACTCACAGCTGCCTAGCAGATTCAGGGAAGCAGTGGGTACAACTCAGCATTCAGTCCTTGATGGACAATTACCCATTCCACCTTTATGCTTTTGATGCAATTTATCACGATATAATTAAATATAAAATTTAATTAAATTAAAAATTGACTGCAGTTAAAAAGAAGTCCCAGTTGCTATCCCTTATAGGCCTAAGGGGAGAAACAGTAAGAACCAGTGTGAACAGTGGTACTGCTGAAAGTCTGAGACGTAGAAAAGCTTAGGGATGCTTTTCATTTCTAGTCCTGAATCGTGTCAAATGTGGACCAACAAAAAAACGCAATAAAGGTGAAACACAATGCATATGCTAGGGGTTCTCAAAGTCTGGACCACAGTTCAGATGCGAACAGAATCGCAAGTTAATTGGGGTCCCTCCGATGATGCACCTTATGATTCAATATGGTTAACGTTGGCTTAACGTTGTTTGAAGTAGTAAAGTAAAATATAACGTAGAGCTACCAAACTTCACACATGGACATAACTCATAACACATTAATGGTTTCAGTAGGCATTCTGTAACTTAAAACAGTGTGTGTATCCTTTAACGTCAAAGAGGGCTACATCGGCATAGGCAGGACGCAGCCGGTCTTACCTGTGATACACTGGAACTGACCATCATCTCTGCGGATGGTGAAGGCCTCGCCCGCATTCACCTGCACCAGAATCACCTGGGGAGACACAGTGGTGACAAGCAGACACTAGTAAGTGGGCAGGAGTAACGTACGATGTCATACTGCCCGGAAGCCGTGCTGAGCGCTACAAGAGGGGGACAACTGTATGAGCTCTTCAAGGTAACAGTGTATACAGCATTTCACTATCATTATTATTATTATTATTATTATTATTGGTTGAACGAAGACTCTATTATAGCTGAAACTTGAAATAATTTTTAAATTGGAAGTATGTGTAAAAAGTGTCCCTTTTCAAATTGAAATAAAATTAAAAAGCTGTAAATCTCCTGTTTGAACAGAAGAAATTAGAAGCAATATAGGAGCAGAATCTTTTTAAAAAAAATAATCTCTTTTAATAATAAATCGATAAAACACATTGGTATCAAGCTAAATATACATTAAATCGAGTAAAACAATTAGATTTAAATATATGGTTACAATCCATAAAAAATAAAATATAAATCACTATAGAGCTAAATATACATTAAAAATCCAGTAAAACGCCTGTTATACTATCAAACTAACTGATTTTTAAATAATAGTTAATAAAATCACTTTAAAAAACATTCATTAACCTATTTTATTGATGTAAATGCTCGCTGAAATGTTATTGATCCCACTGATATGGATTAATATAAATATGGCTGCAACAAATACGAAATACGCCAAGCTTCATATTTCAGTTCAGATCAAAGAAAACTGATTTTTTTCAGGTCAGTGTAATCATTAACACCGCTTCCCACTAAACAATAAAGTCATCAAAAAAAAAAACAAACCCATCATAGAGGCAACAAAAACATGAAGATTAGCCACTGGAAAGCACTGGAGAGCTCAGCAACACCAAAAGGCCAGGTCGACCACAGACGACTACGGTGCATGATCATCGTGCCAAGTCAAGAACACTCTCCAGGATGTAGGCGTATCCGTGTCAAAGTCTATAATGAAGATTTCATTGAATTAAATACAGAGGGTTTAAGTCGGCCAGATCAGACTTTTAAAAAAGCCAGTTCTGGAACAATATACTTTGGACAGCTGAAACTAATATCAACCTGTACTATAATGATGGACAGAGTATGGAGAAGGGAAAGAAAGGCTCAGGATAGCACAATCTGTGAGAGACGGGGAGGCAGTGTCATGGCACTGCCATGTGCGGCCTCCAATGGAACTGGGTCACTGCTGTTTATCGACAGTGTGACTGCTGACAGAAGCAGCGGGACGAATGGTGGAGTGTATAACGCCGTCCCGTCTGCTCAGATTCAGCCAAATGCGGCTAAACTGACAGGACATCGCTTCTCGCTGCAGATGGACGATGACCCAAAACATACCGCGGAAGCAACCCAAGAGCTTTTCCAGGCAAAGATGCGGAATATTCTTCAATGGCCGAGTCAGTCAACTGACCGCAACCCAGTGGAAGAAGCGTTTCACTTGCTGAAGACAAAGGCGAAGGATGAAAGACCAACGAACAGGCAGAGAAGCCCTGGCAAGGCCTCACTAGGGAGGAGACCCGGCACCCGGGGACGGGCACGAGCACGGGTTTGAGACTGCAGGCTGTCAGTGACGACTTTGGATTTTCAACCAAGTATTACAAACAATTATTATATTTATGATTTTATTAGCATATCCAAGTTCTTTAGAGCTCCTGAAATTGGAGGGACTATGTATAAAAATGGCTGCAATTCCTAAACGGCTAATTTTTCTTAAAGATCTGCTTCAATCTACTTCAATGTTTCTTTTCAAATTATTTGTCACAGTATACAGAGGCGAAATGACAAAACTTGTGGCACTGTCCATGGACCCAACTGCATATTCTTACATCTGCACTGCGTGTGTGTTTTTCTCTGATCCAGTGCTGCTTGCCTTTTATCCCAATTTTACCATTTGATATTTGATGTTGCTATGGGTTACACCTTAACATCCTCTCGAAGATTAATAAAATCTATCTGACTGCACCAGTGACTCGAGTAACTTAGCTACAAAGACCCAGACAACTGTGAAGCTGGTTTATTAGAATCCGCGACTGCTACAGCAATAACACTGAATATAAATGTATCGTGTTTGATATGCGCACTGCAATGACCACCTCTGTGTTCAGACTTCAACCTGACGGAAAACCTGATGTTAATAAATTAAAGAAACTGCAGCTTATCTCTGCTGCCATCATTTTATTTGTTAGGTAGTAAAAATAGTGCAATATGAAGCTTCTTTAATAAGAACAGGATGTTCCACTCGAGAGATGGAGCAGAAAGCCAGAGAGGCAGCCACTCAGACAGGGTACCTGCTGCGGCCCGTCGCCATTGACCATCCCAGCTGGAGGTGGGGGCCCGAGCAGAGGGTAGTCGGACGCGGGCAGTCGGCCAGGCTCCAGGGGGGGCGTGTGGTCTGCCATGGCTCCCTCATTCATACGGACATGCGGGCACTCCGGACTCCTGCAAGAGGGCCGACATCATCGTCACAACGTGCTCTTTCGCTTTTCTGTCACTTTGCCCAAAGGTGCACTGCACCCCCTAACCACCATTTCATTTCACCAATTCCAGTCGCTCGACCCTTTCTCACGCTTTTCCCACGGGGTTTTCCCTAAAATTAAAATTTCATTACGATCAGCACAAACAATCAAATAAGAACGAGGGAACGAGTGAATGGCGATGCGTCAAACTGCCGCTCGGTTCCTGTGTTCCGAGTCATGAATAAGGAGGATCAGCAGAAAGGAAGGTTCCAGGTGAAATCTGAATAGAACAGGGAGGAAACTCACTGTCGATGGTGGGAGAAGAGAGATTTATTAGATGCATCGAACATTTTCATCATTCAAGAACTATGAATAAAACGCTGAACTATTAATAAGCTAATGAAAAATAAGCTAATGAAATACTGGAGCTGAATTACTCAGCTGAAACGACACTGTGACCCAGCCGTGCTTCCAGACTTGCGTCCAGATTTAATGCTAAAAATAAAAATGCCCACCTTACGTTCTGTGCTCCGGGATACACTGACGTACAAATTAAGTGTCCCTAGTGAGTAATATGAAGCATGAGTCAGAAAGTGCTTAGAAGTACATTTGAGCAGTCAGACGTCAACCATTATGGCCAGCAGAATCTATCAAATTTGTTCAAAGTCACTGTATTAAACCGCATGACTTCTGTATAGCCTGATAAGATTTAATAATTAAAAAAAAGTGAATACAACATGGTCTTAGAGTGACACCTGCTGACATTAAATGAAACTGCACTTTTTAAATGTACATGCCAATGTATATGGCACTGGATTTAAGAGGAGGAGAAAATATGTCACAGACTGCTGCTGGCCGTGACATTAATGCAAAAAAAATGCCATAACTCTCTGAAGACCATAAAGCTCATCTCCTTTGAAAACCGGAGTAAAAGTTCCATAAGTAGACCTAAGACACTGATATTCTGTTAACATTTTTCAAACCATTGTTTAGTGGCAAACAGATTATAACTGACAATTTCCCTACACACACTTTAAGGTTTTGCTCCCTCAGACTCAGACAAACATACATATACACAGGGCCAGGGTCAAACAACACTGTCTCTCACATGTAATTTCCATATTACATACAGGTCATGCGTGGATTATCATCAATCAAAAACTGATGTACCGTCCAGCAGGGCGGCGACACCAGGTATCTGCCAGCTGAAACAATGTATGGTTTGTGTCTTTCGGGAGGCTCTTCCTTTTATCTTTTAACTGGACAATACTGTTACACCCCCCCCCCCACAAAAAAAAAAAAAAAAAAAAAAACACAAGCAATTCCTGTCACACCCTTGGTTTCCCTGTGAAGTTCTTTAAGACTTCTCTGGGAAAAGTGACCATGAAAGGTGTCAGTGTGCATTACAACCCCCTATCAGTCACCCCCACAGCCGGCCATTTTATTCCAGAACTACCCCGTTTGCCGATAGTCATCCCCACTGGGTCACTTAGCTCCTGGGCATGATGGTAAAGGTGTTCTCACCCACAGATAACCTTTTTTAAACGTTATATTCAAATATATTTTTGCACATTCAATGACAATTTACCACTCGTCTTTACATTGTCTTTTTTTCCTTTTAATTCAATACATAAAATTGTAATGCTATATTACATGTTAATTGGTAAATGTATGCAATATGCATGGATATAGAGGTAAAAAGGGACAATCATTAAATATCCTATTTAAAGCCATTTGGTCTCATTCCACTATCAAAGTAACATCTAAAAAGAAACCAAAACTTCAAATCAACCTCCGAGACTTAATGTTGATAAAGATTCCACCATACCCAGCACATAAAAATCACCCTTCATTTCATTTTAAATTGTCAACTATTTTTTAGGTACATTTTTAAAGATGTGACAAAAATGTATTTTAATTCAAAAGACCCATAACTGGGTCTACGTTGTTACCCAGAGCTCCTGGCTGAATCACCATTATGGGAGTGGTTGAAATCTTTACAATGTGAACAACAGTCCTTTTGCTGCAGCATCAAAGTCTACTGAATGCTTGAAGTACTTAAACCAGTTACACAGCCCCAGGAGCTGACACATAATCCTTAATATTTATTTTACAAAAAAAGCTAAGATTAAAACAGATAAGTATGCAACTGTGTGGAAATATTCTAGATCTTAGTCAGGGCCTAGTAAGGCCAAAAAAGCCACTTCCGATAATCCATGCACATGACAAAGACATACAGGACAAGACAAATGATTCACTGAATATTTCATAAATTTGGTCCAACGGCATTCTGGGAATAGCATGGTTTGTGATGCAACAAGGAAGTGCACTCCATTGCAAAGCTGTCCTTCGTCTACATGCACAATGGATTTCTGAGCACATCTATCCAAAACCTTTTCCATCTTGGCTCGCATTCTTGTTTCTTAGATCACTTTCCATTACATCTGAAAAGCCATGGGCGTTTAATAATAACCTGATCGTTATCAGGCACTGATGACTAAGTTAATCCGAACAGCTCAAATGAAAGTTACTTATTAACTAAAGCCCCAGCTGAACACAGACAGCTGACATGACCTGTGTAAGACTGACCGGCAGAATAAATGTTATTAGTATAGAAAGAATCAAATAAAGTGAACATATAGAAAACGGCACACTCATTAACAATTTGGACAAATCATTAAGATAAACTATTCCTTTATTAAACATAACATTTGTAGAGGTATTTTGTGCTATGTGTTATAAGTATGATTTAAGTTTCCTTATTGTTTCAGTTGCATACCCAGTATTTAATAAGAATATTTTACAGTTGATTCATTGGTATTTGTATAATCAGTTTAATATGGGGAACATCTATTCTTATCAGATTTAAGCAAGCAATTTAAAACAGGACGGTGATAAAAGAAAACATCTGAGAACATAAAATACTTTCAATATCAGAAACTAAGGTAAACAGTGACATTCAGCTGCTCTGACCGAAGAAACAACTGGAAAACAGCCAGAGGTTCAAAGGCACCTCCGAGGACGCAATCATTTCTAAAAGCACATAAATGAAACCCAGCTGAGCTTTCAGAAGAAGCAAAAGAAAAAAAAATGCCTATTTAAAGGAAAGCTTTGAAAAGTACATTTAACAAGGTACAGATTCTAAAGTTCACCATAAATGGTGCCAGCATTCAAAATCCGGATTCCGAGTTTAGACATGATGTTTACTTTTCAACTTCAGGTTGACACATATGCTGTTAAATCTGTGGTAAAATGCTGCCAAAAATGTCTGTGACAACAAAAAATTATATTTAATTAATGTGTTGGATTACGCAATAGGGAAGTAAAAAGACTTTAAAAAGCTAACTGTATAGGATGATACAGTGAGGACTAAGCATTCTCCTTTCTCCAAACTAATAAAGGTTCTTAATTTAAATCACACATATATTAAAAACTCTTCTTAAAAATGAAGAATACAAGGATAATACTAAGTTTGAATGGTACACGTCACGCGGCTCTCCTGACGCGCGCGTGAGAACTGCGACTTCGTGACGTAACAACCTTTTACCCTTTCTTTTTTTTTTTTTTTTTTTTTTTTTTCTTTCGGCACAAGAAGGGTAACATATGGTAGCGCGAAAGCTACCAGCATTTATTATAAAGAAATGTACTCTGTTCAGTACATCAAGGCAGTCGATCTCAATGTAGTTATTCTACCAACCCTGATGTTAGTTTCACTTTCTAAATAATGATACATTAAGCATAAGTTAAAAATCATAATAACCCCCCGTGTTAACTAGTAACGTGGACGAAACAGAGCTTGATTAGTAAACAAGCCAGCATTTCATTTAAAAAATAATTCGTTTATGCAAATACTGGAGCAGATACATGTAGAATTAGAGAAGCGCGCTAACTGGTTACAGTAAAGGCCGACCTTAACCATAAAGATGAAATATGCCCCATTTCACATGCTGAACACTTCATGATTTTTTTTTCTAGCTAAATTAATTAACCGGTGATGTATTCGAACATTAATTGCGCAAAGCCACTTCGCAGAAATGGGGATTTCACACAGACAGGAAGAAATGGACGCATTTTCAGTTATGGTACAAGAAGGTACAAAAGCTGGAGGAGATCATTGAGGAGCAGTCCAGCCTTTGCGAGCCGCATTTCTGCAAAGACCATCCTCGCCTCTAACTGCAATCTAGTAATATGGATTAGATACCATAGGTCCCCGTACTCACCCAGACTGCTGCTGGTATCGCGGAAAGTACGAGTCCAAGACTCGCTATGTTAAACGCCACAGAAGCAAACCTAACGACGTGATAAGGCTTTTTTCCTTTTAGCATTGAACACGCTTCCGTAAATCAGTCCGACTCCGTCTGGATGGATGGATGGATAAATAGATATACTTCCTAGATCATAGCCTTTGCGAACGATAGCTAAATAGGACTGCTGGCTGCCCGTGTCTCCCCAGCACTGCCGAGTCCGCCGCCCAGCCGCAGCCTGCTTTTATATCGCTTTTCTGCAGACAGTGTAGCACGCGATAAAAACGACATGGGCGAGTCAATAATGCTTTCCCATTAAAATCCAGCTCTGCATTCCTAATTACCAGACTGCTTAACACTCTACAAACCCGCCATCTTCTGTCAAAGAATGTACACAAACCGTGGGGCGCAGGCGCCGTGACTGAGGCTATTCCGTCTGTTTAACGCACCGCCGATATTTGCGTACGTAAAGGAACGTAGCGCACTTTAAACCCAGCTTGAAATGGCTTCCTAGCTTTTATATACGGCACTACCTCTCCATGCAAAGCATTACATTCCACCTCTGCATACCGCAGAATCACTCAGATGTGCGTGTCCAGCTGGCCAAACTGCATCCCGAAAAGAGCATTTAAGTAACTTTCCAATCTGAAGTTGTTAAAGGGACCTTGCTAAAGTGTGACCGAAGGGTACTTTCATCACTGTCCAGGAAGTGTTGCAAGTACACGTTCCCAACAGTCATTGGAGAGTCCTGATAACTGAAATAAATAATTATACTAGCTGCCAGGTCGGTAGAAGACAAGTTATTGGTGCTTTTGATAAACAGAATAATCAGATCTGGAAATGTTTAGTACATCACTCCTAAATTATAGTTATGGACAGCATTTATGTCCTTAATTATCTGGAAATATAAATGGGTGGACAGAATTATTTAATCAACATTTTATTAGGAAATACATTCAGTGGCCAGTTCATTAGGTACAGCTGCTTACAAACACAAAAAGCCTGCTTGTCCAAACAGCAAATGAATTGTATATTCAGCAACTGCATATACACTGAATATACACTGCCTGGGTGCTTTATTAGAAACACCTGTACAACTGCTGGCAAATATATAATCAGCCAATCGCATGGCAGCAGTTTAAAGTATAAAATCATGCAGTGAGGGGTTAAGTAGTGTAGTTTATGCTTAGATCCGGAATGGCTGATCTCTTCCAGAAAGGGCCGCTGTGTATGTGGGTTTTTACTGCAGCTCCCTAAGTGATTACTAGTTAGAGGACGCATTGGCTGAGGAGTCCACACACCTGGGTTTGAACAGCTGACCTAAAGGTTATCCCAGAAATCCGCATACACACCGGGCCTTTGGCCACCCCTGACTTAGCGCAAACGTTAGAGTTGGAAAAGAAAAAAATACAAACCAGTGACAGTTCTGTGGGTGGAAATGCTTTATTGATGATACGCAAATGGCCAGACTGGTTTGAGCTAACAGGAAGGCTACAATAGATCAGATACCCAGTCTGGACAGTGGCGGTGAGGAGAAAACAGATGCAAATCCATGGCACAGTGAACATTGAGGTGCATGGGATCCGACCAGCGGTACCACCCTGACTCCTCAGCTAAAATCACGCTTCCTTCTCCGTCAAGCTTCAGTCTGACCTACGCCCTCTGCAGCTTTCACCACAGATATCTATTTATGGCTGAATGATACCGAGGAAAAAAATGACATGGTGGTATTTTTGAGTTTCGAGTTCAGCATTCATGACTGCGCCTTTTGCTGTTTAACGTGTTTCTGTTATGATACAGATGAAACAGATAAGATGAATTAAGAGCGAGTAGGGTGACCACCTAATCCATGTCAGGAGGGACACTATGAGCTACAACAGGATTTGTAAACTACCATTTCACCCATTTCAATTAAAAGGACCAGGATTTCACTTAAGCACTGGGTTCTTGCCGTATGCTGATTGGTCAGTCTCCTATAATCATGCATATGTGTCAGTAATGTTAATGCGAAACAGCTGGATGAGTCTTTCAATCTAGGAACTAACCAAACATTTTAGCAGAGCACAGAACCCTTTCAGCTTTAAAGTAGTTCGTAAAAGATGAAGTAGCTCATAGTGTCCCTCCTGACATGGATTAGTTGGTCACCCTAAGAGCGAGTTCCTTATCTTTCATTAAGAGCTTGATTAGTAAATAAGCCAGCATTTCATTTAAAAAATAATCCGTTTATGCAAACACTGGAGCAGATACATGTAGAATTAGAGAAGCGCGCTAACTGGTTACAGTAAAGGCCGACCTTAACCATAAAGATGAAACGTCTTTCATTAGGAATCTGCTGAGGTCAATTTTCTGCAAATGCAGAACATTAGACTATATATGAGACTGTTTATTATACATAAATCTAACAATCTAACAAAGACTATTGCATGATTGCCCATTGTGATGTCATACATTCCATCCCCTGCATACTCCCACCAGGGTAGAATCGGTCGCCCACAAAGTCAAACTCCTGACGCCACTGGCTACAGCAGCAGAAGATCGTGTCAGAGGTTCCACTCCTGTGCACTAAGAACAGGAAACGGGGGCTGTGGTGGGAACAGGCTCACTGAAACCGGACATTGCCTGGTCTGATTAATTCTGTCTTTCTGCTGCATCTTGCAGATGGTAGAGTCGTAATGTGGACTAAACAGCATGAATTCATGAACCTCTCCTGCCTTGTGCCAACAGCTCAGGCTGCTGGTGGTGTAATGATGTGAGAAATGAGCTCACACTGGGGTCTCCGATACCAGCTGGGCATCTTGTAAATGCCACACACTGCGCATTGTTGCTGACCATGTCTGTCCCTTTATGGCCACAGTATACTCACCTTTAAATGGCTGCCTCCAGCAGGATAATGCATCATGCCACAAACCACAAATCATCTCATACGGGATCTATGAACATCATGCTAAGTCAAGTGCACTTCAATGGCATCCCCGGTCACTAGATATGAATCTAACAGAGCATCTTTGGGATGCAGTGAAACAGGAGATTTACACCCTGAATATGCCGGCAATAGATCTGCTGCAATTGTGTGGTGCAATCATGTAAACAAGGAACAGAATCTCTAAGGCAGGGGTGTCAAACTCCAGTCCTGGGGGGCCGGAGCCCTGCACATTTTTGGGTTTCCCCTCATTTAACACACCTGATTCAATTCCTTGTGCTAATTACCACACAGCTCTTGAGCTGAACAGGAAAAGAACTGAGCTACACAGGGCTCTGCCCCCCCCAGGACTGGAGTTTGACACCCCTGCTCTAAGGAATGTTTCCAGCACTTTGTTGAATCCAAGCTAAGTGTTGGAACTGCAAAGACACGCGATGTTATGGCCCCCAAAAGACATGACATCTATGGAAACCAGGAGGCCACAAATAAAGAAAGAAACTACCATTCATCTGTGCTTCTAGGTGGTGAAAGGGAAGAGAAAACAGGCACACCCCTGTACTATTCACAAAATGTATGCATTACAAAGTAATTATTTACAAGGCAGGGTCAATGGCAGCCAAAACCAAATGGGAATCTTCACAGTCAGAGAGGCAGCACTAGTAATAAAACTTGGTTCCAAACAATCCAATATGGGCACTAACTCTCCACAAATTGGCTCTCAATCTCTATTGCTTTGGCACCATTTTGCCATTTCTGTGCTGCATTATCCAATTGGGAAGATGCTACTGACTGTTTCTCATAAGCCTAATTCATACATCACTTGTCCGTGTGCCGTTAGGGTCCAAGCATAGTACAGTGGTACCTCAGTTTTCGAACTCATTATAACTTGAATTTCTTAAAAGTCGAACCAACCAGTTCGAAAACAAATTACCTAGAACTCGATCTGAATCTCAGAAGTCAAACCATGAACGCCGACATAAGATAATTTGTACGCGCAGGGAAATGAGTCACGCGGCACGTCTCTCAGTGGAAACAAAAGGTAACGCTTCAGTCTCAGCCTCGCATTCACTGTGACAGCATTGTGCATGTTTACACTAGCTGAATACATATATTTAGACAGTAAAAATACATTTAGACAATGATAGACAGTAACAGTAATTTTTACATAATAAAATACATTTAAAAATAAAGATTTCTTATTAATTATTTCAATATCATTAATAATAAACCATTAATACATTTAATTATAATAATATTGTCGTGCCCAGTGGGGTATCGGTATACGGGGTTTAATTACAGGTAAGGCAGGCAAAACGCAGACGGACAATACAATGACCGGACTGGGGAAACAAACTGAAATGCGGACTAAATACAGAGGACTAATGACAACAACCAGAAACAGCTGATCACACGGAGATTCCACACGGGGTTAACAAGGGGGCGTGGCACACGGAAGGAGCGGACAATTGAGGCAGGACATGAACAAATGTAGTATAAACACAAACGTCTGCATGCTCAACTGTGTGCAGACAGCAATGGCACATGGCTTAAGAGCGACAAGCCAGTAGACCAAACGGAAGAACCCTCCTGTAGCAGCAAGAGTTAAATGGAGAATGGGACAAGGAGAAAATTAGACAAAAGGAAAAAACAATGCATGCAGTATACCTAGCAAGTACATAACACCCCCACTTATAAGAACAATGTCATCAGCTAAACGAATGAGTCAGGGCGTTCCAATGAGCAGGAGACGGCATACGCCAAGACTTTCTCACTTCTTGTAATGGATGTCAGTGTTGTAGTCTTGCGCAACTATTGACCAATACATCAGGTATTAGATGTGATTCTGCATGTTAGAGATGAAAACACTAGGGTTGCGGTCTATTCACATTGCTACAAGCAGATTGTTGAAGCTTACACTACTACTGGTTGGAGTGTTGGGATCCATATAGACCTCTCATTGTTGCAATGCTTATAAAAGACCTAAATATTCCTTTTCAGTAGCGAAATAGTTGCTCTAGTCTATGTCGAATTTCCTGGAGAAATAACCGATGGGGTGTTATCGTTATCAATGCCGTTATCATCTTCCTGCAGCAACAGGCCCAGTTCTAGCGGTACTGGCACCTACCTTTAAAAGGCCGTAATTGAGAGCAGCAGCGAATCGCAGCATTTTATCCTCAAAGACCTCCTGACACTCCAGGGTCCATTCAAGTGCATGTGAAGTACTTACATGCTATTAGAGAAGAGGCAACGGTCGAAAGGTTATTGCAGAAACACCAATACTAGTCAGGCATCCCTAGGAGGAGTCATCACTGATGTCTTGTGGTTGGCACAGGAAAAGCAATGAGCCAAAACCTCAACTTTGGCTTCAACTGGCCTTAGCCAACAACTTTACTCAAAGAGTTGATTGCTGCTTCTCCAAACTCACACTCAGTGAAGTGTCAGTGAAGCATCATGTAAACAACTGAACACCAGGTGGAATGTTCCCATACGTGATGGCCAGCTGAACATCGTATAAGCAACCAAATCATTAAGATAAGGCTGGAAGTTTGGCACAACCTATAAGACATAAGAACATAAGAACATAAGAAATATACAAACGAGAGGAGGCCATTCGGCCCATCAAGCTCGCTTGGGGAGAACTTAACTAATAGCTCAGAGTTGTTAAAATCTTATCTAGCTCTGATTTAAAGGAACCCAAGGATTCAGCTTGCACTACGTTATCAGGAAGACTATTCCATACTCTGACTACACGCTGTGTAAAGAAGTGCTTCCTTAAATCCAG